CCCCAAAACCCCAAAACCCCAAAACCCCAAAACCCCTTTCTCGGAATGATATATTGATATAAGACTGGATTTTTGTTATTGGTATTTTAAGTAAAGACTATTACTTAGAAACTTGTTTTGCCCCAGCAAGTTTCACAGCATTTTGGAGGGTATTATTATCTAATCTTACATCTGCATGAGGAATATTTCTAGTATCTGCATACTTATCTGCATCCTCCTTACTGTCCTCTGAAGATGTTTCTGAAATTTCTTCTGACTCACTTTCTTCAGACGAAGAGCTCTTACTAGACTCTTCTTCAGCTTCTGCTTCAGATTGTTCCTTCTCTAAACATATTAAAACCTGTATACCTATTTCTTCTTTCTTCTCTTCTTTTTCTTCTTCTGACTCTTCGGCTTCTTCTGATTCTTCAGTTGCGTCAATATTGTCTTCTTCATAATATCTATAGGTTAAAATCCACTCTTACGGTGTTTTTACAACATCTTCGCCTTCTCTGAAGGCTTGGAGAACATCTTGAGGGGATGGCCCAAGAGTAACTACAATAGCAGGTTCTTCGTTTATTGGAATATCATTCTCCTTGTCCTCAAGACCTTTGTACATGCCTAGCATAGCTGTTAGCAGGCCAGCAAGGAAGATTATTCCGTAGATCGTGATTACGAAGATTGGGTATTTATCAAACCTGTCACTTGTTAGGTTAGGATAAACGTAAGGAAACAGCATTAGACAGAGTGTTAAGTATCCAAATTCAAATATTGTGTGGATGATGTTACGGAGACGAGATCTGAATGGCATGTATGCGGTGTGCCAGACTAAACTGAATACAGATAACATTGAAAGAAAAAGAAGCTGATAGTAACTTTGGTCATGCCAATACACAAATATTACCGACATAAAGAATCTTCTCATAATAAAGTAGAGAGGGTAGCAATAGTGGAAAAAGTGATCTGTTCTATATTGATAAAATAAATGAGTTCCTTTCCAATTTTTCTTCCTTATATCTTCGATTTCTTCATCTCTACTTTTTGATTTTGAAATTTCATCCCAATAATATAAAGCCATTGCCCAAAGAAACATAAACACAGTTGCTAAGAAAATCAGATAAATTACGGAACCAATTGATCCGACTGCCTCACTCGTTGTTTCAACGTTAAAAAATCTGTAGTTCATTACTGCAGCAAAAGTTAGTTTACACATCGAGATAATGATCAAAAGACTGAAGAAAGACCCTAATGTGCTACTCTGGATATTTCTTGCAAATTTATTCTTTGGCAAAATTGTAGCATATACACTTAGAAGGGCCGGGATGAATCAAGCCATTGTCATGAAAAACCATACATCAATTGTTAATGAAAAGAATGCTTTATTATCATATCCCATCTTCAGAAAATTATAATTTATAGGAGAATCATTCTTTGTGAATCCATCCCTATCAATTGCTCTTGTAAACTTCCATTGTCCGAAAGCAATATGTTCAAAGTTACAATATTTGAATATCTGGAAAAATCTTAACAGCACTGTTGGAATATACAATCTAGCAACTGGTATTAAATGAACTAATTGAAGAGCACAAATTATATCTATCATTGTCCAGCCAGGGAACCCTAGAAAAATAAGACCAACTGTAAATCCAATCAATGTAGCATATCCAACAGCAAATAGGGAAATTCCGATCCAATCTTCTATTGGAACATCTCTTTCCTTTCCATGGAGATAAAATTGTATAGCTTGATCGACCATTTCAAATTCATTGGTCGAGTCAATTACAGAGCTAGAGTCATTGAAATATAAAGTTATATTTTCAAAGTCATAATCAAATAGCTGATCTGGATAGTCAATATAGATAAAGAACCCGCTGGTTGGCACTTTCTTATGCTCTGTAGCATTTATAACTGTCCAAGAATATTTATATTCATCTAAAGGACCTTCCAACTTTAGGTCCCAACTAATCCCCTGTTCCCAATGAGTCGCTAATTTCACTGTTGTATTGAATTCAAAATAGATGAACGAGCTATTCTGAGTTATCCAATAATTAGTGATCCATGGTCTCAAATTTTTGTAGCAATAGGCAGGATCTCCTTCGCGACACATCCAACCCTTTTCAATTGTTCAAACTGCACTTCAGCCATCTCCATCTCTTAAATTACCATCATCTCATGCCCACATTCCTTTCATTAGTCCATCTCCACAAATTTCAATTCAAGTGTCCATAGCAGTTGCTGATCCTCCTGATCAATTCCAGCCTACTTCAATCTGTCATGATGCATCACATCCATCTCCTACTAGGAGATTATAATCGTCTCAAGGGAGGTTACCATCATTTTTACCATCACCACACAATTCGTTACATTTATCTCCTACTTCTTTATCTCCTCCTGTACATCTCCACTTTGATTCTGTGTGTCACGTCGAGCTTCATCCATCACCATCAACTACATTTCCATCATCGCAGGTATGCCATCCTCTGTTTCTGTAATCTCCACATAATTCTTGGCAAGATGTCACGTTATCAGGTGAACCATCTAAACATTCCCAGCCACTTTCAATAAATCAGTTAGCATCACATCCATCGTTAGCATCTAGATTACCATCGTCTCATTGGTCATAATAGAAATGTCTTCTATCACCTCATTCTTCTTTACATACATCTGGATGAGTAGCATTTCCTCCCGCTCATGTGAACCCTTCTTCTATCCTACATTTCCCATCACATCCTTCTCCAGATCTTAAGTTTGCGTCATCTCATGTTACTTCTTGAAGCCTGAACAAATTTCTTCGAGGATTATAAAGCCAAGGATTTTCAAACCTGAAGCCATCTCCGCACCATTCATGTCAGTGATCTGGAGCAAGTGGATTTCCACTAGAACAAAGGAATATATTTTCAATATCACAAGCTGCACTACATCCATCTCCATCTATGCTATTTCCATCATCTCATGGAAGATTTCCAAGATTTATTCCGTCTCCTCATAATTCATTGCAAATATCTGGTGCTGTGTTGGTACCATCAATTCACATCCAACCTCTTTCAATTTTACAGGTGGAATCTCAACCGTCTCCATCAGCTCCATTACCATCATTTCATTCATGATAACCGTAATAGTTTCCAGGAGTGCAAGCTCTGGCTCATATAGAGGGTGCATTTGCGCTTGGGTTATTTCATGTCCAGTTGGGCTCAACAACACAAGCAGAAGAGCAACCATCATTGTCATTAGAATTACCGTCATCTCATGCTTCTCCTGCTGCAGTTTCTACAAGCCCATTTCCACAAACTGGATCTCAGCTTTGTCCTGCAAAAGTGAAGGTATAGGCTCCAGATCACTCAAAACATTGGGTATATGTGTTTCCATAACATGAAGTACAAAAAGGGGATAGACAAGGATCTCAATTAGCTCCATAAGTGTCTTTATCTCATGTATTATCTCATAAATTAGTATCATATTTGCAATGTGTTCATGCAGTTCCGCGAAATGCTACTCATCCAGTTTGATAAGAATGAGTAAATTCAGCTGCAGTTTTTGGCCAATCAAGAACTCTCATGTCTTTTATCATACCATTAAAATCACTGCCTACTTGAAGATTGTCTGGCCCAACGTTCAGAAAAGCTGGAACAGTTGCTCAAGCCTCAGTTCCAGTTCCGAACACAGCACAAACTTCTGATTCAGCATCTCCAATTCTTTGAACACTTACTCCAAAATATTGCCAAACATTTACATCAGTAGCAGAATAAGAAGAAAAAGGAACAGAAACAGAGGTTGTCCCAAATTTTACTTCATATGTGTTCTCTTTCAGGTTTATAGAAAACTCATCAGTATTAGGCGCAGACTCAAAAGAAAACAATTTCCCAGTTAAAGTAGATTCAAAAGGTCTGATCCAGCCTTCTACAGTTATGGATCTTACTTCATCTTGAGTCCATGTTCCCGCGGTTCTCACATTTGAGGTTCCATCAAAGTAGAGACCTTGGTTATCAACAAAAATAGGATCATACCCAGTAATAGAATGATCATCTTGAAGAACTTGATCTAGTCCATTTGGACCTGTATCAGGTATATTTGTAACATAGGTACCTTGAGTAAAATCCCAACTAGCAATTAATGCATTATTAACATATTCAAGACAAGTTGGAGCAGAAGCAGCAGGTCATATTGATCAAGGAGCATTTCATGCTAATGAAACGGCAGCATACAAATCAGCAGGTAAAACTTGGTCTGAGTAGATTGTAACTCCATGTATCATCCCTCTTAAAGAATCTCTTGCTGCTGTTGTCGATGTTCTTCTTCCTCCAATTCAGTTTACAAGAGCATCATCATCAATAAATTGTCCTGATGTATGTAGGACTGGGCCGGCAGAAGATCCTGTACCATTAAACATTACATTATTAATGCTTGTTCCTGCTGGGCCACTATAGATTCCTACCATATTCCATCCTTTCGCATAATTAGCTCCAAGAAACTGTGTTTCAACATAGTCACCTCCATATGGAAAAACTCCAGCAGAATTTATTTCTGCAAAGAATCTTCCATTCTCAATTCCTGCTCAGAAGCCTCTATCAAAATCAGTGCCAGATTGATGGGATCTACAATAAAGATACTGCTTTGATTCCAGATCTTTGATATAAACATATAGGCTGACGCTTATAATTCCTGTATTATAAGATGCATCTGAAGGAGTGCAAGCATCTGATCCAGTTCTTTGGAAGATGAACCCTTGAGAATTGGTATCAGCTATATGTGCAGGAGTTCCTCTCTGGGCATAAAATCTCTGAAAAGCAGCTCCTCCGCTTGAAGAGTATAAATTTCCTGGTCCACCAACAGTTACAGAGAGGTCCCAATTCTCTAAAGTTGTTGCTCTATAGTAAAGTAAAAATTGTTATAAAATTAAATGAAATAGCGCCTACCATTTGATCCACTCTGTCAGATTCACTAGAAATGTAAGATAGAAAATTGCACAAAAGTGATTATGAATCTTCATATTTTACCAAAAATATTATAAAATTAATGATATATTATGAATTATGGGGTTTTGGGGTTTTGGGGTTTTGGGGTTTTGGGGTTTTGGGG